CCATCTCATTTGCTCCTGGATTGCTGTGCACTCTTCCATCTCTCCCTCTGTCCATCTTTCTTTCCACCTGTCCTGCCGTCCCCCAGATCTGTTTAAGAGTCTTCAGCCAGGGTCTCAGGTCGCTCTACCTCCCTACTTGCAGCTTGCTTTCTCAGGTAAACGCTGCAGAAACCTCCAGCTCATTGCTGCCGTCTCGTAGTTTTAGGTTGTGGACCGTTCCTTTACTTCCTCTGCTTGTTTCAATCCTTTTTTTTGTGTTTCATTAGTGTGGCATTAGCTCTGTTCCAAAACCTAGTCTGTCTGCGTAGGCAGCTACCTTCTCAGGGAGCATCCTAACTGAAGTGGAACCTCATGTGATGTCAAGTGATTGATTTGAACACTTCTTCATGGGTCGCAACTCGGTTGCCGTTAGATGTGGCATGTTCAGGCCGCTTCTCTTGAGGAACTCTACTAGGCCTGGGTATTGACAGAGTTCACAATTCAATTTTGATTCAATTCGTTTGGAAATATTTCAGGTGCAGTAACCTATAGATTTTTCTTAATGAAATAAATCTCTCAACTAATTCTGTCAACTATACAGGGAACCCTGGTACATTAATATTAACTAAAGGGCGGAACACACCAAGCCGACTTCAAAGAACTAGCGAGGACATAAGCCCACGGTGTTGTCGTATTGCGTCTGCTAGGGTTGCACGATTAATCGAAAATTAAATCGCAAAGGCGATAAATTGTGATTAGGCAGAAGCTGCGATTGTCATGCGTATCTTTCAGTGAAGCACGGTTCTGTGATCAGCAGTAAATCTCCATCCGAAGGCCAGAGGGCGCTCTCGCGCTGAAACTCCAAATACTCCCCGCAGAAGAAACCCAGGAAATCCCTATAGCGGTTGCTGAATAAACAGAAGATTTAACTGCTTTGATTAATTCAATGTGACTAATAAACACACGACTAGACAATATATGGTTTATCTGAGTTCGTCTTATTATAATTTTTACTATAATAAAGTATATAATAATGCAATGCTAATCGACATAGCCTTTATCACTGCTTAGAATACTATGAAACGTAGGGCTGTCAAAAAAAAAATCGAATTTCGAATATTCGTTGAATGAAAAAAAAAAAAATCCACATTCGAATGCAAAAACGTGAACCAACTAGATGCGGCGCTGCTATGTTGTTCATTCAATATATTGTGGAAAACGAGAGCATCAGTGTGGAGAAGATGTTGTTTACGTCAAAACTGAAACAAGTCGTTCACACAGAACGCATATTTATCACATTTTCTAGAGGGACATCTATCAGCGTTGCACTCGTGTCTGGCACAAGAGAGCGGCATGTTTAGAAAGCCATGTAAAATTAATGTAAGTTCAACTTTTAAAAAACATGTCTCAAGACGTTATGGCGGTTTTTCCCCATCCCACTGCATCTCATGTTTTTAAATGAAGAAAATAGCCTACTCTTTGTGATTGGTTTTCGGTCCTTTGTATTAAACTATACATACATGCATGGTGCTGTTTTTTCTTCTTTTAAGTGTTTAAGCAACTTTATTAATTATATATGGTTTATAAACATTATTTTAAACATTATGCACTTTTTTTT